TAGTTGTCAAATTTGGTTAGAATTATTATATTTTATAAAAGTGCTATTTAGCAAAAGCGTACCAACCAATTTCCAAAGCGGTGTGAACGCCGTTCTCATTTCTGCGATCTCATGTAGTAATAGCCACAGTCTCGTGTGGTAGCGGCACCATCTCATTGTGGCTGTTCAGATTCCCTTGTAGTCTGGACGGTCTCCAGGAGAGAACACTGCTTCCTCCAGCTCCTTGGGTTTATATCCCGGCGCACAAGCTTACGCCCAACCTGAATGACCAGGAACAGTCTTGGTATTCCTTGCTAGTGGATTGTGACTCAGTGTTTCTAGGACGGGGATGGATCTGTAAATACAACTTGCTCATATCACTTTATAGAAGTGATATCTGTAGATTAAAGTTGAAAGAAAAACTTGAACTACTGTTTTGCTAGATCCCGTGGATTAATTGCTTGGCGGTCTGTTCCCAAAGGTATCGGTTCATAATCTTCCGCGATCATTTTCACCTCCGGGTTGACATGTAAAAGGGCTCTAGCTCTGGCAGATAATGCCAGGATAACACCTTTTCTAATGTTTTACTCCTTGGTTCTTAAACATTGAACCCTTAGATCAAACCACCAGGCCATGGACCAATATCAGCCTGTGGCCTGTTAGGAACCGGGCTGCACAGCAGGAGGCGAGCAGCTGGTGAGTGAGCGAAGCTTCATCTGTGTTTACAGCCGCTCCCCATCCTTCGCATCTCCGCCTGAGCTCCCCCTCCTGCCAGATCAGCGGGGGCATTAGATTCTCGTAGGAGCGCAAACCCTATCATTAACTGTGCATCTGAGGGGTCTAGGTTGCTCACTCCTTATGAGAATTGGTCTGAAACCATTCCCCACCCGCCCCCATCGGTAGAAAAATTATCTTCCATGAAACTGGTCCCTGGTGCCAAAAAGGTTGGGGACCTCTGCCTTAGATAGGGCACTGGAGAAGCATGACCACAGTGATCAGAGAGGATGTGCAAAGCTGTGAAGCAGAGAATGTTCTTTAGTGACCTCCAACATGCCCCTGGGCGTCTAGCTGAGGTATGTTCACAAGAAGTTCATGATAACAATAGTGATAGGTTAAAGTACCCATCTGTCTCCCTGGCTTGTAGGAGCAGCAAATAAGTCAGAACCACACAAGACGGGGAGGAATGAATGGTATGTAGGAGAGATTCAGACACTGTGTAATGAGTAGGAATAGGCGAACCTCACCCAGCCTTTCCTACCTTGAGATTTTTTGTTTTTTTTTTTTTTGTTGTTGTTGTTGTTATGCTTTGGAATCCTGCTGTCCCTGTTCTTTAATAAACTTTATATTCTCTTCCTATCCTGAGATTCTGCTTTGGATTATGCCAGGGCTTTTCTGTTTGTTTGTGTTTTTGATACCCTTTAACTTTAGTGAAGAGAAAGGCACAGTGGGGCAAGAGGGTGAGGATAATTTTCCTCATCACTCTTTTGCTCTTATTCCCCCAGTTTTCAAAATGTGATCTTCAGATTCCACGTGGTTCCTCTTCAGAGATGTGTTATTTTCACAGTGAAGTCTGGGCACTTAAAAGAGGTTTTGATAACTCAGGGACCCCTTTACTTGCCTAGGTTCCTCCTATCTGAGAACTGAATAGGTTTATAAACAAAAGATCTTCCATACAAAGCTTGTAGGGAATTCCTAAAGTCTGTTGAAGAGAAGGTTACCTGCACGAATGTGTGGATCTTGTACCATTTCCTTGAGAATTGGCCCAGAAAACAAGGCGGGTGTTCGAGGAAAAATTGGAACTGAGCTGTCTCCCAGGAAGTGAACTAATACTATGTATGTATCATCAGATGAGTTTGTAAACATGCATCAATTACTTATTTTAAATAAGGCCATAAAACCCTGAGGTTTGCTTGTGATTGACGGGGCTCACCCTTCTTAAAGCAAAGGTGCTAGTGGAAGGCACTTTTGTTGGAGACCCTGATTTGCTGGATGAAACCATGGAACCTCCCTGTGCAGACGTGCTCTCGGCTCCTATTTCCCTTGGGATGGGAGACACGCAGGCAGACGGCAGGCCCTGGGACCGTAGGAACGCATGGGACCACCCTTCTGTAACGCCCATGCACCTCGAGTGAAACGTTTGAAAATACACCCGAGCTCGGTACCTGCTATATAGTGAGCTGGGGAAAAAAGGAAGCTAGAAGATACTCGTGTGGCATGTTTTACTGTAGCCATTTAGAATTCTTTCGTCTTGGATATTCTGATTTACTCTTGTAATGTTTTAGGAAATTCATATAAAATCGCTGCTTCAAAAAATATTTTCATGTTCTCTGATTCTCTCCTAGGAAGAATGAAGGGGCAGGTCGTGACTTCCCCTATTCCTACCTTCATATGTCATTACCCGGAACTTCCTAAATAAACACACACATGCATAGAGTACCTTTGATTTCACAGAGTTTTTTAAATGACCCTACCCAACGTCTCCTCCTTATTAGCTTGTGCACATCTAACTCCAGTAGAAATGCCACTTCACTACCAGCAAAAGACTTTTAACCACAAGTTCTTTTTTTTTTTTTTTTTTTTAAAGCCAACTCCTCACTTCCCAGTTTATTTCCATGCCAGGCCAGCTAGAAATTACATGAGATTTCATTGACGTTGTTAGTTTTTTAAATCAGTTTTTTGGTCAGTGTTGTAAATTGGCTATAAACAAAAGGTGATCTCCCAGAAATATCTTCTTGAGTCTTTATCCTGCGTAGTGTTCTCATTGATGCATATTTGTTCTCCGTCAAAGCAATCTTTAAATAGTTGGTGGAACTGTTAAATAGTTCATGTAAGTTCATCTTTCAGTGTTGACTGCAAGCTCTTATCTGTAGCCTGTGTTCCTGCTTGTTGGGACTTAGAGGGCTCACGGGGTCTGGGGGTGGAATGTGACAGGCGAGCCGTGTCCACTGCCCTCAGAGTGGTGAGTGGCCCCAGGTCAGACAGATGGGCACAAAGGTTTTCTGTGCCTATCAGGGACTTAATTTCTAAAAATCGCTGGAAGACGCTTTGATACACATTCATTCATTTAGTCAAATGATGTGAGCAGGAAGTAAAATTACTGATCGGGGAATAGAACCTGTACAATGATTGTGAATTTCTCCCGTGAATGATAGAACAACGAGGGTAGGAAAAAAAAAGTGATTATTCTATTCTATATTAAGTTTGACCCAAAAGGATTTTTTTTTTTGAGACAGAGTCTCGCTTTGTTTCCCAGGCTGGAGTGAGTGCCGTGGCGTCAGCCTAGCTCACAGCAACCTCAATCTCCTGGGCTCAAGCAATCCTCCTGCCTCAGCCTCCCGAGTAGCTGGGACTACAGGCATGCGCCACCATGCCCGGCTAATTTTTTTCTATATATCTTAGTTGGCCAATTAATTTCTTTTTTTATTTATAGTAGAGACGGGGGTCTCGCTCTTGCTCGGGCTGGTTTCGAACTCCTGACCTCGAGCCATCCACCCGCCTCAGCCTCCCAGAGTACTAGGATTACAGACGTGAGCCACCGCGCCCGGCCTTCCAAAAGGATTTTTAAGTAACTCCCAGCGTTTGCCCTTCTGATTTGAGTATGAGATTTTCTCACCGAAGAGTGACATGCTGTGTTTATCCTGCCCAGTAGACCCAAGAGGGGAGAAGTAGGGGTCTCTGCTAGAGTGTGCAGAGAGCCCAGTTCCTTCCCTCAAACAGGCGTGGGGTTGAAACGTAACCATGCCCGTGCTGTCATGGGAAGAGCCAGCGATGATTGGCTCTTGGCGCTGGTTGCCTCTCTCCAGGAGAGTTAGTTGGGCTTTGGGTCACCTCTGTGTCCCCCCAGTTACGTTAGAGAGTTGTGGTTACCAGGAGCCGTTTGTCAGGAATAAATGCTAGAAAAGTGTGACCTCGTTGCAGTGGTGACTGTGTGTTAAGAGTGTGGTTGAAGGAGTCCCAGGAAGTGAAAGTCTGGAGCGAGGAGATATCTGAATGTTTGGGTAATTCTAATTATTTATCATTCTAAGAAAATTCTGTCGTATCAGCAAGGAAATCCTCCATACAGTGGATTGGCTGTTGGGAACGGTGGTCTAGTCTGAGACCTGATGGACATTCTGTCCATCTGCACTTGGCTGGTTTGAGAATGTACTTCACGTTGCACAGTTGCATCTGATTAGATTTTTTTTTTTTTTGAGACAGAGTCTTGCTTTGTTGCCCAGGCTAGAGTGAGTGCCATGGCGTCAGCCTAGCTCACAGCAACCTCAAACTCCTGGACTCAAGCAATCCTACTGCCTCAGCCTCCGAGTAGCTGGGACTACCAGGCATGCGCCACCATGCCCAGCTAATTTTATATATATATCAGTTGGCCAATTAATTTCTTTCTATTTATAGTAGAGACGGGTCTCGCTCTTGCTCAGGCTGGTTTGAACTCCTGACCTTGAGCAATCCTCCGCCTCAGCCTCCCAAGAGCTAGGATTACAGGCGTGAGCCACCGCGCCCGGCCTGATTAGATTTTATGAGTCAGAGGCCTGGCTCTGAAAAGCTTTATCCTGTTTGTTATGTAGCAGAATTCTAGATTATTTGACCTCTCCATGTTCTGCCTACCAAACTTTTGCATTTGAAAGATGATGTGTTTCTAGAATTTTTTCACTGTCACACACTGTTGAGTGTGGCTTTGGCAGTCCTATTGTTGTAGGTGTCCAGGTATAGGAGAGCATTTTAATTCTTGATCTCTGTTATGAAGAACCGGTCCTTATCAGTGGTTCATCCCGCTGGCCAGCAAATAAGGGACTTGATGAGAATGCTTTCAAGCTCAGAATGAACGGGATGTGGCACCTGCTACATCAAACAAAGATAAACACAGGCAGAGGTCACTCTCCATCTTTTATAGAGATGACCTTTATCAGCCTCACCTGCATATCCTGCTGTGTACACAGGGTTTTACGTCTAGAGACATCTGCGTGGTTGGAATATATTCCAAGTATGTGTTTTTAAGGTTGTTTGTCCTCTTTTCCCACGAACAGATATCAGTATTACCTGCAAGTCAAAAAAGACGTGCTTGAAGGGCGATTACGGTGCACGGTGGAACAGGTGATTCGACTCGCAGGCTTAGCTGTGCAAGGTAAGACCAGGGTGTGAACGTCCCTTTTCTGTTTGATTACGGCGTTGTGAGCCTCTCAGAGTAAAAAGTCAGATTCACGTCAATGATCCCCCTTAGTAATGCTCCCTTTTCACTTCAAGATATCTTGCATGAAAAATGCAAAGTTAGTGATTTTTGGTGGCAGGATGGTAGATTTCCAAAGCCTGTTTGCAAACTGCCCATGCTTGCATAATTACGGTTTTATTTTGAAGAAATAGCAGCTTTTATCCTGCCTTTTATTTAAGGCTACATTTCAGGGTTTGTGGAACATTTTCTCATAATTACTCCGCTGCACAATGTGGTCATGTTGTGTGGCTTGATGCAGCGAATGTGTGACCGTCACGACAGCTTCATATGATAGCTTTAAACATTACAGTATAATTTATTCCAGTGCAGTTACAGAGGCAGATTAAAATCTCTGTAACAACAAATGCGTATTGGGCTAAATTGATCTTTCAGCCTGTCTGTTTAAATTGATCAGACAGCCATTTCTCACCTTCTCGAAATTGTGTGTGTGGCACTCTTCGTATTTTATACATTACTGTTTATTGGGTGTGGCTTAACTGCCTTCGTTGTATTGAAAATAAGAAGATGGTAATATAATTTTTGAAAAGAGATTTTCCCTTTCTGTCATTATTTTCTTGAAAATCTGCTAATATCCAATGGTAAAGCCTGCCAGCAGCTGAGTTCTCGCAGTGTGGACTGCTGTTTTAGAAACTGTGAACTGACTTTCCATCCCACACTTTGGACTGAAGTCTGAAGAGGCAGCTTTTCTTTAACCTCCTTCATTCCTGGGTGTTAGTGGTTTAGCAGTTCCTGTTAGACAGACAGTTCCTATACAGGTAGCTCCTGTGTTACTCTGTGGATGGAAATAGGCAAAATCTGATGCATCACATCTGTCTACTTAAAGACCAGAGGGGACGAAACAATGGCCAGCTATGGCAGAAAAATCACTAGAAGCATCATGGAAATAATGGGGAAGACACTGTTAATAGAGGAGAGAGGTGATCCAGCATGACCCACAACTTCAAATTGGGTCTTTTTCTTTTAAAAAGCTTTCTTTGTTTATTGTCTTTATTCTTTTTCCTCCCTCTAGTCAGTCATTAGGCTTATTATTGGTATCCTGGGTATTGGAGGACCCTGGAGGAAGTTGGTGACTTATTCTTTTTTTCATTGGTCCTTCAGTCTGATGAAACCTCCTCTCCTCTAGCTGTACTATTTTTAAAATAACTTTTTTTTTGAGAACCTTTATCGGATCATTAGAAAGACACAGCAACAGAAATATAAGTTGTGATGGAATGTGGTAGCCTATGGTTGAACTTGAAAATAGGCAGGGTGAGTGATTTTTGCTGTTCCTGTATATCGCACCTAATTGGTAATTAGTTATGTGCTGAGTTTGTAAGTTGATGTTTACCTTCTCAGCAACTTCTTAACATTGGCCTGGGTGTGGTGTGTTGCATGTATTTGTGTGTGTATCCTCCCATTCTATATTTTATCATTACCTTAAGGATACCTGAACCCATTTCTATCTGATACTAAATCATTTATCTGAAGTCAAATTTTCATGCAGGTTTAGTTTTTGTGGGAGCAAGGTAGATAAGAAGCGAACACTTCTATATTTGTAACAGAGCCTCTCTGTATTCATCTTGCATGTGCTCAAACATACCATCGTGAGATGAAAACAGGACGAACAGAATTTTTGGCAACTTGTAACATGTGAAGTTGTTTAGGAGGTGTAAAGATTTTCGAGGTTGCTTGCCAAGGGTGATTTATAGTGGGAATTTCCAGCTACAATATATGAAAAGATGCACATGGGTTTGGCTCTTCAGTGTTCCAAATTAACCTTGAGTTAAAAATCCCCTTGGCAGATATTCTAAGATACGAATTGATGTATATTTAACGAACAAAGGTTTGTTTAAATTTTTAAATAGCCTTTAGAATCGTTTCAAATCCCCCTGTTCTTCCTAAAAAATTGTGTGTTGGTGATTACATGTTGACATTTATCATATTGCTAGGTAAAGTGGTAACCATACCAAACACATCTTGGCACTATTTTTATTTAATAATAGTGCAAAAATAGGATGAAGTGGAAGAGTAAATGTGGTGATAAGTTTAGCATGTTTTAATCCATCTTTGATTTCATGTAATAAACACTACCCTTCTGCCTCCTTTTCTTCTCAGCTGATTTTGGAGATTATCATCAGTTTGATTCTCAAGATTTCCTCAGAGAGTATGTATTGTTTCCTATGGTAAGTGTATTTCCTTTTTCGTAATTAATTTTCTTTGGGCATTTGATTCTTTCCTTTGAAAAGCTCAGAGGATTTTACGTACACATATTCCGGGGGGGGGGAGTGCATGCATTTATAAGTTGGATTAAGTTTTATAAAACACATTGAGAAAGTAAGATGTCTTCTTCTGCCTCAAGATGCTTCCCTAGTTTTCTTTTTCATATAGTTCCTTGTTACTGTATAGAAATGCTACTGATTTTTGTATTTGATGTTGTAACTTGCAACTTTACTAAATTTATATATCAGTTCTAACAGGTTTTTGATGGAGGCTTTAGGGTTTCCTTTATATATGATAATGTCATCATCAACAGAGATAATTTCACTTCTTCTTTTCCTATTAGGATGCTTTTTATTTTTTTCTTGCCTAATTGCTCTGATAAGCATTTCCAGTACTGTGTTGAATAAAAGTGGTAAGAGATGGCAGAAACAATCCCATTGGCAGTAGCATAAAGAAAATAAAATACTTAGGAGTAAATTTAACAAATGAAATGGAGATCTGTATGCTGAAACTAGAAAATGTTAACAAAAGAATTGAAGATGGTACAAATGGAAAGATATCCATGTTCATGAATTGAAGAATGAATATTATTAAAATGTCTACCCAAAGCAATCTAATAGCTTAATGCAATTCCTATGAAATCTCTGTGTCTTTCTTCACAGAAATAGGAAAAACAAGCCGGGCGCGGTAGCTCACCCTAGCTCTCTGGGAAGCCGAGGCGGGTGGATTGTTTGAGCTCAGGAGTTGAAACCAACCTGAGCAAGAGCAAGACCCGTCTCTACTATAAATAGAAAGAAATCATTGTCCAACTAATATATATAATGGAAAAAATTAGACTGGCATGGTGGTGCATGCCTGTAAGTCCAGCTACTCGGGAGGCTTAAGGCAGGAGGATTGCTTGAGCACAGGAGATTGAGGTTTGCTGTGAGCTAGGCTAACACCACGGCACTCACTCTAGCCTGGGCAACAAAGTGAGACTCTGTCTCAAAAAAAAAGAAATAGAAAACAATCCTAAAATTGTATGGAACCACAAAGACCCAAATACCAAAGCAACCTTGAACAAAAGGAACAATGCTAAAGGCATCATACTACTTGACTTCAAACTATATTTCAAGCTATATTAATAATACAGCATGGTACTGGCAAAAAATAGCACATTGACCAATGAATGACCAGGATAAAGAGCCCAGAAATAAACCGACACATCTATGGTCAATTGATTTTCCACAGAGAGGCCAAAACACGCAATGGGGGAAGGGCAGTGTCTTTAATCATATCCCTGGGGAAAGTGCTTATCCACATGCGAGGAATGAAATGGCCCTAAATCTTGAACATTATACAACTCAAATGGATTAAAGGCATGCCTGAAACTATAAATAACCAGAACAAACTTAGGGGAAAAGCTACACAACATTGGTCTGGGCAATGATTTCTTGCATATGACCCCAAAAGCACAGGCAACAAAAGAAAAAATAGACAAATGGAATTGCAATAAAACTAAAAAGCTTCTGCAGAGCAAAGGAAAACAATTAACAGAGTGAAGAGACAACCCACAGATTGGGAGAAATATTTTGCAAATATACATCAGATAAGGGGCTCAAAACATATAAGGAACTCAGTCTACTCAGTATAAGAAAACAAATACCCTATTAAAAAATGGGCAAAGGACTGAATAGACATTTCTCAAAAGAAGACAAACAAAAGGCAAACAATATATGAAAAGTAGTCAACATCACTATCATTAGGGAAATGGCAATGAAAACCACAGTGAGATCTCGCCTCACACCCATTAGAATGGCTATTAATCAAAAAGACGAACGATAACAAGTGTTGTAAGGAAATGGAGAAAAGGAACCCC